TGCATTTACAGAAACTAAATATTAACCACTTCCCTACCGCCCTATAGCAGAAGTACTGCTACAGGGCGGCAGGGATGTGCAAAATCGTGTGTATATATACGTGATTTTGTTTTTCAGGGTAGGGTCGCTCCCTACCCGCACCGCTATTGGCTTCTCGGCATGTCAATCACCTAGTCCGGGACTCTGTGATCATCAGCGGAGCTGACAGGGGAGAGGTCTGTATGTGAACAACACAGATCTCTCCACTGTCAGCACGAACAGGCTGCTTTGTATTACTCTGCACAGCAGAGCAATACAAAGCAGCTTGTCTCCCATTTAAAACACACACAGCACACTGTTAACCCTTTAGTCGCCCCAGATGTTAACCCCTTCCTGCCCACTGTCATTAGCACAGTGTCAGTGCTTTTTATTAGCACTGATCACTGTATTAGTGTCACTGGGGATGTCAGTGGCAGTTAGTCAGTTCCCCCCAGTGCCAGAATGCCTGCTGTTGTCCCGCAATAAGTCGCTGATCGCCCCCATTACTAGTAAAAAAAAAAAATTCAAGTATATACCATAAAAGTATATATATTTGTAGACGCTATAACTTTCACGTAAACCAATTAATTTACACGTATTGAGATTTTTTTTTATAGCAAAGACATGTAGCAGAATACATTTGGCCTAAATATATGAAGACATTTTATTTTTTACATTTTTTTTACTGGATATGTTTTAAAGCAAAAAGTCAAAAATATTGTTGTGTTTTTTTTTTATCAAACTTGTCGGTCTTTTTTTCTTTACAGCGTAAAAAATTAAAATCGCACAGGTGATCAAATACTACCAAAAGAAAGCTCTATGTGGGGAAAAAAAAAAAGACATAAATTTAATTGTGATGCATCAAACGACAGGAAGTGATAGCAAATCTCCCCTATAGAGACACACAGCAATAAAAACTTGACTGACTAACATCCCAGCTTTATCCAAAACTGAAATGAAATAATAAAAACATTTAGCTGGAATTAGGCCTTGCACCCCGGTCACATCAAAGGCGATTTTGAAATCGTGCGACTTACAGTGATGATGCACGATTTCAAAGTCAGGTGACTGGCCGATTTGAGGTGCGTTCCCCGCTGGCACTCCTGACTTGGCCCGCCCCTGCTGTCTCCTCATTGGCTCATGGGCTCCTGTGTCAACCAGTGAGGAGGAAGAGTCAATAGACAGCAGAGGCTGTCAAGAACGTTGTTGGATTGGAGGGGGCTCAGATACGGATTGGGTGGCTGAGGAGGCCTCTGCACAAAGAGAATGCGTGAAGGAAAAAAAGTAAAAAAAAAACTTTGAGCCTTTAGAACTACTTTTACACAGAGTCACATTGAGTGTGACTTGGCGTGCGATTTGCATGCCATGTGACTTACAAATCACATGCCAAGTCGCACCTTATTGTCCGCTATTAGAGCGGTCATATCAGTGTGGTTCCGAATTGGTCTGAGCCGCACCGATTTCTAAAGTAGTGCATGCACTACTTTTGTTGTGATTTGCATAGATATCTGTGTCAGATGTCTTGCAAATCGCAACTGAAATCAACAGGTCACCCGATTTTGAAATTGTGCGACTTCACTGTAAGGCGCGCGATTTCAAAATCGGCTTTGATGTGACCGGAGGCTTATACTGTTTAGTCTGACAAATGAATTCTAGTTCTGTTTGTTGTTCACATACCCTTCTCACAATAAACATTTAAATATAACAATATATACTTTACTTCTGTATAGAATATATTTTGATTTTAATATATACGGTATATAACAATAAATACTTCTGTATAGAATATATTTTGATTTTAATATATATATATAACAATATATACTTTACTTCTGTATAGAATATATTCGATTTTTAATATATACGGTATATAACAATATATACTTCTGTATAGAATATATTTTGATTTTAATATATACGGTATATACGGTATATAACAATAAATACTTTACTTCTGTATAGAATATATTTTGATTTTAATATATACGGTATACGGTATATATTTTGACAATATATATATTTTACTTCTGTATAGAATATATTTCGATTTTAATATATATATATATACGATTTTAATATATACGGTATATAACAATATATACTTTACTTCTGTATAGAATATATTTTGATTTTAATATATACGGTATATACGGTATATAACAATATAATACTTTACTTCTGTATAGAATATATTTTGATTTTAATATATATATATATATATATAATATACTTTACTTCTGTATAGAATATATTTTGATTTTAATATATATATATATAACAATATATACTTTACTTCTGTATAGAATATATTTTGATTTTAATATATACGGTATATAACAATATATACATAACTTCTGTATAGAATATATTTTGATTTTAATATATATACGGTATATAACAATATATACTTTACTTCGGTATAGAATATATTTTGATTTTAATATATACGGTATATACGGTATATAACAATAAATACTTTACTTCTGTATAGAATATATTTTGATTTTAATATATAACAATATATATATGTTATATATATATACGTTATATAAATATAACAATATATAGTTTACTTCTGTATCCAGACATCCTTGTACTCTGACAGCATGTCCCTTTTAAGTGCTCATTGCCCTGCTCTGTTTTTCTTATGCAAATAATGAGTTTTGTATATACTCTTCTGTTATATTCCCATTTTATAATAAAAGCACATTTCAGGATTGTTCTAGTAAATTGCCAATTTAGCTTTTGTTGTGTACCCACAGAACAGAAGGCTCTCCATCTGACATACTTGCGATCACACGCTTGCTTGGTGAAAACACCTGCTTGTCTCAAAAATATTGAATGGATTCCAGCTGTATGATATCCCTACAAGGATTTTCCAACCCCATACCCTTTCAGGACATAACAAGAGTGGCTCAGCTGTAGGCCAAGCAATGGCATTAAAATACCCAGAAAAAAATGTGTAGGCAAAAAAAGTATCAGTAATTTTTGGAATGCGCACATTCCAGGAAAGGAGGAAAGCAACCACTAAAGTAAGTATTTCTCCATTTTAAATCTTTCCTCAACCAAATGCATATTTGGGGCTCATTCACAAGGGCATATGTGGATTTTCTGCAGAGCTAGCAGAAGATCCTGCATAAAATATGCTATGCTAGTGTTTAAATGTGATTAGATGTGTGCCGTTCATCTAGTGATATTTGTAGATGCAGCTGTATGTGGTCCCATCGATTATTATAGTGGTGCATTTAGGATGCGCTCAAAACTGTACGCTGTATGCATCTAAACACAGCATTTTAGACACCCATGTGAATGAACCCCTACCCTTGCTCTCCGGGGGTAGACGAACAGACACAATCTACTGATACCTTATGTTTAACTAGAACTAAGCTTTACATAATGAAATTATGACAGCACATCTCTGCCTAAGGCTTAGCCAAGACTGGTTTGGCTGCAAGTGAGGATGAAAATAAATATCATAGATATCAGTGGTAGATTCAATTATTATTTAAAGTGGTTGTAAACCTCAGACATGCAATCTGAACAAAGCATGTCCCACTATAGCAAACTGCGGCCCTGGGGCCGGATGTGCTCCTTTGCTTGCCTTTATCTGGCCCTTGGGGCACTATTCCTCCCACAGATACGACACACTATTCTGCCAACTGACACCAACACTGGGGCACCATTTCTACCACTGACACCAATCAGCGCACTATTCCTCCCAATGATACCAATGGTGGGGCACTATTCTTCCTCCTAATACCAAATGTGCCAATTTTTATTCCCACTGATGCCAGGAAAATTTTCACTCCCGCTGGTTACAGTCCAGCCCCTCTAAAATCTGAAGGACTTTAAACTGGCCCTTTGTTTAGAACCTTTGGAGACCCTTGCTTTAAAGTGTGTACTTGTCTTAATTAACAGCACTAAGCAGGGGCAGACTGACCATTTGGAAACTCAGGCACTGCCCGAGGGCCCGGGGTCAGTAGGGGGCCCCGTGAGATGCCCCTGGTACCTTTTTCATAGGCTTTTTTGAGTTTGGGCAAGGACAAAGGGGCCCCATGATCCCCTGGGGTCAGTAGGGGGCCCATGAGATGCCCCTGGTACCTTCAGGAAAAGGGACCAAGCTCATGTGTTACCAAAAAGCTGACTTTGCACAAACATTCTGCAGCCTAAAAAGAGTAAAGGGTATGTATACTTTTTGTTAATAGATTGATATAACATATATTACTGCTAAAAAGCCTTTTTGTAATTTGAAGGTAATATTTGATTGATTTGCTGCCAGCTAGGTTTCTCTAAAACTGTAAAAAAAAAAATGTACACGTCTCCCATGAATAGGAGTGTTCCTTACATTGATGGTCTGCAGAACTCATGAGAAATGTCATTTCATATGCTTGGCTAACTGTTCTTAGTACATTTTCCCTTTAAAAACACTCATCATTTGATTTAGGACTGTGGGAATATTCTTCTACTCAGCGCTCAGGCAGCAGGAATTAGCTGCAGAAACCGAATGAAAGCTGCACAAGCTCCACTACAAACTGCAACAGGTAGGGCTGTGCAATGAAAACATCCTTGCAATGTAGGTAACAGACCCGTGTAGTTACAATTTTAAAGTCCCCAGGTAAACAGTTAATTACACAGTTGAATCACATATATGGAAACTTTCTCATGACAACAAATGTATAATTATGTGTAAATAGTTTTGAGATCAAGGCACCGCTGCCATAGCCTTTATCACGAGTTGTTCAACAAAAAATACATCCCCATCTACCTGACTGGATAATGACGCAAATGCAGATTAATAAAGCCACCCCCTGCTCTATCCTCTATCAGGAACAAAGGAAGCTGATATGAAACCAGGTCTTATATCAGATGCTTTGAAATATACACTATATTGCCATAAGTATTGGGCCAGCCCTCCAAATCATTGGATTCAAATATTCCAATCACCTCCATGGGCACAAATGTATAAAATCAAGCACCTAGGCATGCAAACTGCTTCTACAAACATTTGTGAAAGAATGGGTCTCTCAGGAGCTCAATGAATTCAAGCGTGATACCATGATAGGTTGCCACCTGTGCATTAAGTCCATCTGTGAAATTTCCTTCCTACTAAATATTCCACGGCCAAGTGTTAGTGGTATTATAACAAAGTGGAAGCAACTGGGAACAACAGCAACTCAGCCATGAAGTGGTAGGCCATGTAAAATGACAGAGCGGGGTCAGTGCATGCTGAAGCGCACAGTGTGCAGAAGTCGCCAATTGTCTGCAGAGTCAATTGCTAAAGACCTCCAAACTTCATGTGGCCTTCAGATTAGCACACAACAACAGTGCGTAGACAGCTTCATGGAATGGGTTTCCATGGCCGAGCGGCTGCATCAAAGCCTTACATCACCAAGTGCAATGCAAAGCGTCGGATGCACTTATTGGTGCATGCATGCAGGACTGTACACAGCAGGAGTCTATCAGAAGGTTCCGGCCAATGCTTCATGGCTAGGACCTGCTGATCAGCTGTGTCCAATCACAGTCCAGAGCTCTTTGTTGACAATTCAACAAGGGGCTCTGTACAGAGGGAACAAACTCTGTTTCTCATTCCTGCAAAGCAGGGATGAGAAACAAAGAGATGTCTTAGTATAACAGCACACATTACACACATCACATGTTGTTAGGCACATATGTAACCCCTTGATGGCCCTAGATGTTAACCTTTTCCCTGCCAGTGTCATTAGTACAGTGACATTGTACAGTATTATCACTGATCACTGTATTAATGTCACTGGTGATGTCAGGAGCAGTTAGTCAGTTCTCCCTAGTGTCAGTTAGTGTAATATTGCCCTCCGCACTATGCCATTATAAGTTGCTGATCATCGCCATTAGTATAAATAAATAAATAATCCAGCATGTATGCCATAGTTTGTAGATGCTATACCTTTCATGACATGTAGACATGTAGCAGAAAATGTAATGTGTTTTTTTATTTTTTATTGGATATGTTTTATAGCAGAAAGTAAAAAATATTGTTTTATTTTTTCAAAATGTTCTGTGTTTTTTTCATTTATATCGCAAAAAATTAATTCAGTAGTGATCAAATACCATCAAAAGAAAGCTCTATTTGTGTAAAAAAAAAGTTTTATATTTCATTTGTGTAGTGTTGTATGACCGCACAATTAACAGATAAAGTATCACAGTGCTAAATAGGAAAAACTGGCCTGATCATAAACAATATAAAATCTTCCAGAGCTAAAGTGGTATACATTATACACGATAAATTTGCTACACACCATTAAATAAATCACATCTGTAAAAAAATGACCTTTACATTTCAGTTTGCAGTCACAGTAATTTTTCAAAATCTTTTGTGCGCTGTGACAGCCTGATGGCATTCTGTAAATTGTATGTTCAAACTCCCCTAGATATGCATTTCCAGCTTGTGTGATTGGTTCCCTGCTTTTCCTTGAAGTCTGCAAAAATCAGGCATCTTCAGCAAAAGGATATTCGTTTTTGGAGAGATACTCTCTAAGTTTCTATCACACCTAAAGGGATTTAAGCACTTTAGCTTTCCTCATTACAACACAAAGCTTGGCAAGGGGGCTATATATGAAGCAGACCTTCCTATTCAGAAATCAGTCCAAGAAAGGTAAATGTAAAACCAACAGACTCATTCAAAACAAAAAAGGCATGGCACAATGTATAAGCAAACTTGGATAGTTTTTTTTTTCCCACAAAAATCGGAGGTACCTGACCTCTTTCCAACCGCCCTATAGCAGAAGTACTGCTACAGGGCAGCAAGGCTGTGCAAAATCACGTATATATATATACGTGATTTTTCAGTTCCAGGTAGGGGGCGCATGCACGTTGGGACTTGGGTAGTTTTGCAACAGCTGGAGGGCCGCCAGTTTGACACCCCTGATGTAAACCAATTAATTTGCATACATTGGGATTTTTTTCTAGCAAATACATGTAGCAGAATATATTTTGGCCTACGTTTCTGAAGAAATTAAATTTTTTTAAAATGTTTTTACTGGATATGTTTTATAGCAAAAAGTCAAAAATATTGTTTTGGGTTTTTTTCAAAATTGTCGGGTTTTTTTTGTTTATAGCGCCAAAAATTAAAAATGCACAAGTGATCAAATACCACCAAAAGAAAGCTCTATTTGGGGAAAAAAAGGGACATAAATTTCATTTATGTACAGCATTGTGTGACTGCGCAATTGTTAGCTAAAATAACGCAGTGCCGTGTCTCAAAAATTTGCCTGGTCAGGAAGGGGGATAAATCCTCTGGAGGGCAAGTGGTTAAAGAATAGTAAATGCAAATCTAATCTAATACAATGAAGGCGCAATTCGATTACACAATATATATCAAATATCCAAGTATCCAGAGATTTTTGTGTTCTTAACTCTCTATAATGCCAATTAAGGTATCCTTCATATATTGTGCTATGTTTAGATTTGTTTTTCTATGCATTATTGTATTGTTTACGTTGGTACTAGTTATTAGTATATTAAGCTATTTAGCATGATTGGCAATAAAGAACTGAAGTACATAGGAAAGCTGCAGGCATTAAGGCTTCATTTCTGAATTATTAAATGCCACTACCTGAATAAAAATGACTTTGCAGACAAAGATCTATCCCCAGATGGCACAAAAGCCTTTTTGAGGCTGTCAAGTGAAATGTGTCAAGTTCACCTCAAGTCACGCTACGCTGGCTCTTTTTAATATTAAATGAGTTGTGTCTGTGTTGTCATCAATTACACGTGCAGCCTAAAGCTTCAAATTATGCAAATACATTTCATATGCATCGATGATGGAAGGAAGAATTTGGGAGTAATTACACAATTGGAAATAAAATTTGGACTTTAAAACACTTTGAAAAAGCATATAGTCAACTAAAATTGTGGTATCCATTTACAAATCTCAGGATATCACTTTTTACAGACTGATGTTCTATCAACTCAGATTACGATGTACACATATGGTGGAATAGTACATTTAACCTCCCTAGCGGTCTGATTATGTCCATATTTCTGTGCTCAAAGCGGTACCATTTTTTTGCATGGAAATATGTAGTTTTTTTATTGTAGGCTGTAATATTTAGGAATAACTCACTGAAATCTGTTCGAACAAGAGTCTAGTAAACATCCCGGGTATGTTAAAACTTGAAACACGAAATCATAAATTATAATTTAATAAATAATCATAGAAATAATAATATAATAATAATAAATTGAATTCAATACTATAATTAAACCAAAAACACTGCAATTTGAAATAGAGCACAAGTTCGCACATCACTGAGCAAAGTCGCAAAATCGTTTTCAGTGTCTGATGATGAATTTCCCCACGAATCATCACTCAATTCTGCAAGAGGTTCTAATTTACTATTGCTGTTTTCTAGCTGGTCTAAAACCGCTTTTGACATAAAGGGACGCTTTTTGGACACCATTTCTCAGTTTCCAGGCAGTCACTTTACAGGGTCAGTCCACTCAAAAAGAGTTTATTATTTGTAGATGAACTCTGGTGGACCAATTGACTCTCAATTTAACGTATGCCTGGTACATACAGGCCGATGGCTGCAAGTGCTAACCAGTGTGTTCTGGTGGGGTAAGGGGGCAGTTCCCAATCAGAACACAATAGCTCAGTGGGGGGATTGCTGTACTGACATTGCATAGTTAGTACAGAGACCTGCTCGCAAGCTCCTTGTTTTTTTTTTTTTTTTTTTCAGCTTGCTGATAGTGCATACCGAGAATTACAACAATGTCCAGTTGTACCCCCTTCCTCCTCCAGCCAAGCAGATTGCCTTGGAAAATTAAAAATCGAATGGGGGAGAGCCAAACTCTCTGCAGCAAGTCTGGGAACTCGAGTGCACAGATGTCATAGCCAGATTCCCCAAGAAATATAAGAAGCTCTTATAAATGAGCATGCCAAAATTATTGTTAAAACTGATCTCCAGGATCCTGCTCACATTCTGGATCTAGATTCCTTTCCCCATGTCTTATTGAACAGCTGTAAAACTTCTAAGAGTTCTTACTTTTTGAATAAATGACAATTTTAACCCTGAGTGACTTCATCATCCCCTTTAAAGAAATGCTGTTAAAGAAGAAAGGATAGCTCTTTTTCCTGGCTGGAGGTCAGCTTTAAACAGCGAAATGTCAGTTTTGAATGGGCTGACCCTTTAAGGAACTCACAAGTACAAGAATTTAACTCCCTTGGATGTGAGTTAAAATCTACAGATGACCTATCCTCCAAAACTGAAAGCATCAGACAAATTGTACAGGCTCCTTCACTAATATATTGTCTAGGCTTTTCCATCACCACTAGATACAAGCATTAACCATCTGCCTACCATCCCATAGCATATGTACTGCTACAGGGTGGCCACGCTGTGCAGAATCACATATATAAATGTGATTCTGCACTTCCTGGTCGCGGGTGTGTGCGTGCCGCTTCTGCTGTCATTGGTCACAGCAGAAGCCAATCTGCGAGTGCCGGCAAATTGGAGCGCCGGCAACTGCCGATTGTGTAGGAGACTGATGGAACACAGTTTTGCCTATGTAAACAAGGCAGAGCTGTATCTTGTCAGCAGCAATGTGCTGGATTCTCTTTCCCTGTGAGCAGGGAAACAGAATCCAACACATTATCTAATGAAAACAGCACACAACCACAGTAAACATTACACATAGCTAGGCACACAGTTAACCCTTTTATCACCCTAGATGTTTAATCCCTTCCCATTCAGTGTCATTAGTACATTGTCAATGCATATTTTTAGCACTGATCACTGTATTAGTGTCACTGGTTCCCTAAAAGTGCCGGTTAGTGTCAGTTAGTGTCCAATTGTCCGCCAAAATATCACAGTCCCACTATAAGTGTCTGATCGCCGCCATTACTAGTGTGAAAAAAAATAAAATAAAAATTCCAGTGTATATACCATAGTTTGTAGACGCTATAAATTTTGGCAAACCAATCAATATATGGTTATTGGGATTTTTTTACCTAAAAAATGTAGCAGAATACATATAGGCCTAAATTTATGAAGCAATTTGATCTTTTAAATCATTTTATTGGATGTGTTTTATAGCAGAAAGCAAAAAAATATTGTTTATTTTTTCAAAAAATTTTTTTTTGTTATAGTGCAAAAAAAAAAAAAAACCCAGAGGTGATAAAATACCACCAAAAGAAAGCTCTATTTGTGGTAAAAAAAAAATTACATAATTGTCATTTCTGTACAGCATTTCATGACCGTGCAATTGTCACTTAAAATAATGCAGTGCCGTATTGCAAAAAATGCCCTGGTCATGAAGGGGGGTAAATCTTCGGAGGTCAGGTGGTTAATCTTGCAGCATTCTGCTGTACTAAGAATATTATTATTATTATACAGCATTTATATAGCGCCAACAGTTCGCTCAGCGCTGTACACTGCAATAGGGGACAATACATGAGACAGTACAGT